GGCGCCGCTGCTGCTGATGTGGCGGAGGATGGGAGGCGGCCTCGGGCGCCTCTCCGGATGGAGAGAGGGTGCCAAAGCGGAGGGAGGGTGGCCCGGGGCGGGCGTCCGGGAACCCCACAAGCCGGAGCGTGGGCGATGAGGGTGTCGGCGACTGGCCCTCGCTTGCCAAGGCCGGTGGGCAGGGGTCGAGGACACACGGCCCCCAGAAACCAAGGACGGCGGGATAGGCATTTTAGGTACCACCCCCTAGGCAGGCTTCTCGGGATGGATGGAGCCCCGGGCCTCTCCCTTCCCCGCCCCTCCCCACCCGTGGGGGACCTCGGCGCTGGGAAGGTCTCCAAGAAGGGTCTTCACCAGCCCAAGGCCTAGGGCGCTTCCAGGCAGTTTCACCCCCACCCCGGGCCTCAGGGACATCCAGGGCGCAACATCCCCTCCCAAAGCTTGGGCGGCGCCCCAGGCACAGCCCCCTCATCAAGCAAGACGCCCCCCCCTCGCCTGACACCCCCAGGCCTGAGTCAGGGAAATTTTAGGCACGGCTCCCAGGCCTCCCTCACCCCTATGGCTTGGTCAAGGGCTCCAGGGCACAGGTTCCCTGGGCCACCCCCTTTGTCCCCAGTGCTGCCCAGCTGTCCAGGAGCAGCCCCACCGGCAGACAATGCTTTGGTTCTCCCTCCTGGCCCTGGCCACTCGGGTCCAGAAGCCAGACTAGGGTGGGAGTGGGGGGCTGTCGGCTCCCCAGGGAACCCCGTGTATCTGGTGTGCCTTTGCGGTGATGGTGGCTTTGTGTGTTGTACCTGAGGGTGGGGGACTGGCGTGCGATGGATGGGGAGGTGGCTGGGAGCGTGACCCAGGGTCTGTGTGCATGTATTTGTGTGTGCGTGTGCTTGCACGCGCTGCAGCTGGTGACTGAAGAATCCTGTGTTGTGAGCGTGTGCATGTGTATGGTGGTGTGTGTCTGTGACAGCTGCTCACTGTGTGGGGCCCTGTGGTTTTTCTGTCGGTCTCTGTGTGACTGTGTGTGGGGAGGCCTGTGATGTCTTCTGTGGCCTCGTGTGTGTGTGTGTGTGTGTGTGTGTGTGTGTGTGTGTCCTGCTAATCAGAACCAGGTCTGTGAAATCTAGGCAGGGCATGTTCCTCAGAGGAGATAACAAGAAGAGTTGTGACCGGGACCCTGTCCCTGTGTGACTCCCCCGTGCCCTGGGGAGTGCCCATCCATGGTTCTGTGTGTCACACATGTCTGATACGCCAGTGTATGAAGTCGTGCTGGGCTGTGTGACAGAGGGCTGTGTGTGTGTGTGAGAGAGAGAGAGAGATTGAGGTCAGATAAACAACTCAGTCCATCTGTGTGTGCCTGCGCGGAACGATTACGTGTATACGTTGTCACTGTAGGCCTCTGGTCAGTCTTTGACTGAGTGTCCGAAACCCTGACAACCGTGTGGCATGCTGGAGTGTGTGGTGCTAAGGCAACGTGTGTCATTGTGGACTCTGTGCATGTCAGGGCTACTATGGGTGACAGCGGGCTTCTCGATGCCCGTGTGACTGGCGTGTCTGTGCCCCTCCATGGCTGAATATACATGTGTCACCGCATGGCTGTGATTGTTGTATGTACTTCCGTGTGTGTGCGCGTGGGGCAACGTGCATTTTAATCTGTGTGATTTGGTGCCAGGCTGACGGGACCCTGATGATGTGTGCGCCTCTGTCAGGGACTGCGTCTCCCGGGTAAACCCAGCCAGCGCGCCACCCCCAGGTGTCTGTGCTCTGTGCCCACACCTAACTGCATCATGATGTGTGAAAGGGAAACCAGGCTTGGAAGCCTCCAGGTGGGAGATGCTGCGCATGGCTGCCAGGTGTGACCTTGTGTGCCGTGCTGCCAGGTGCCCCCACCTCCTCCGTGTGACTTGTGTGTCTGCGTGAATAGGAGCACGTGTGCCTCTGTGATGACGTGATGTGGGGGGGGGGCTGGAGGGACGGGGCGTCGTGTGGTGGGAGCAGGGCCGATCTGTCTGGGTCATGTGGACGCTGACACTGTGGGACTGAGCACACGTCACCATCTTTCTGAGCGTGACCCTTCTTCCTCTGACCCACACTGGCCTGCAGCCACTGGCACCCTGGGTGCTGGTGCATAGATGACTGCCTTCGTGAGTGTGGCCGCCCTCCAAGACTGTGTGTGACCGACACGGTGAGCAGAGAGTGTGTGCTGCTGTGACTGACGTGGCTGGGGTTGAGTGTCCACGAGTTGCTGTTTGGGCGCTCGCACACGCATGTGCCTGTGCCCGAATGTGGCTCCGTATGACTGGAGGCACGTGTCTTTGAGCATGTCCTCGGCTACGTGAAAATGTGCACCGGTGGGGATGTATGACATGCGTGGCCGCACCTAGGTGTGACCAGGTGGTTATGGGTGATCACACGGGCAAGCTGGGATTGGGTGTGATTCTGTTTGGGTGGGCCTGGAGCGGGAGCCCCTTGGGGTGTGGCTGCTCGGGTGGGTGTGCCTGGGCCCAACTCTTTGTCAAGATGGGAGTGACCAAATAGAGAAGTAGCCGATGTGGCCAACGTGTGTGGCAGTACCTGGGTGGGCGGTGACTCCTCTTACAGGTCACACGTGTGTGGACACATGTTTGGACAACGCCTGTAGCAGACACTCTGTGGAGTGTGCACATGGGACCAGGCGTTGGCAGCGGTAACTCTGAGACTGGAACTGTTGGGCGAGTGTGCGTGCACATCCTCGTGTGTGGCTGTTTGTGTGGGACTGAGTGTGCCTAGCTGTGCCTGCGTGCTGAGGATGGCTGGAGACACGTGTTAGCTGTGCACGTGTGTGAGCCCCGGGACGTATGTCTAGAAGGCAAGGCGCTTCCTTCCTTACATCATCCCCTTGGGCACCGAAGGCCTCCTGAGGCCAGGAGATCCCCAACAAATGCCCCCCCAGGCACACCTACTCCTTCCTGGGCTCTTGGAACCAGGTGGCTGATCTCCCTGGTTACGGTTGCCATGGAAGCCAGAGTCTTCATCTCAGGGAGCCTAAGATAGAGGGGGTTGGCTGCTGTCCAAGGTGGGGTGGAGACGGGGACTCAGCCCCACCCCAAGCAAGTGTTCTACTTTCTTCCTCACTTGGGCAGGGTGGACCCAGGAGGCCTGAGCAGCATCTGCCCCCAGCCCCCTGCGGGGCCTCGGGGCCCCCTGCAACGTCCAGGACGGAGCCTGGTGAGTGACCAGCTTGGACAAGGGGGTCGGCCAGCCGGGCAGGACTGGAGGGAGTGTCCCTATCGTCACACAGGCTTGAGTACGCTCATGACCAACTGTGCTGCCTTGATGGTGTGGTTGCCAGGGTTGAGTGCCCATGTGATGACATAAGGGTATTCGCACACATGTGCCCGTACAGTGGCCCTCAAAGGCACACTCATTCACAGACACACACACCTGGAGCACCCAGACGCCGCCACCACCCCATAGCCCCAGGGCCCAGGCATACCCACAAACTGCCAGTCAGAGTCGGCAGGGATGACAGGCACAATGGGAGACATGCTCTACAGACAGACACACCTTCCCAGACCACATCCAGACTCACAGGTGGCCCACGACAGACAGTCTCACGGCCTCACACACCATGAACAACAGCTGGACTCTCACACACCCAGCTGCACTGCCAGCCCCAAGAGCCCGCTCTCACCAACAGCTCTGCTTGTGCGCACAGACACAGCCTCGCACACCCGTCGATGGCAGCCGCATTCTCAGACAGCCACGGCATCACGTTCAAGTCTCACGGACACTCTCAAAGACAGCCAGCTCGTGTTCTCAGACAGCCGCACACCCCACGGGCCCACGCTGTGTGAGCTGACGCAGACACATCCACAGACCACCTACCCGACAGTCTCGCCTCCAACAGCCGCACCCCTGGACACAGACACCGCCTCTCAGGGACTGAGCACCCTCGCAGGCTCCATCCATCAAAGACGGGAGCTGCATGCTCACCCCAAGACGGTCTCGCAGACAATGGTGATGGATGTGTGCATTCAAAGACAACAGCCGGGTGCTGAGACAGACACCTGTCACAGACAGCATTCGCTGACCCACAAGCTCTCATGGACACAGATGACCTCCAGGCACACAGCGGCACGCACAGCAGCCCCACGTTGGGGCCCAGACCCCCTCAGGACACCCTCGCAGACACCGTTCAAGATGACACACGTCGGGACCACAGCCACAGGCGCGCCTGCCCTCGGACTCAGACACGAGTTCCCTGTTTCTGTTCGTGCTTCTAGTGCTGGGTGTCCCCCATCCTCTTCACGGGACTCTTCAGTGTGGCTTATCAGGCAAAAGGGAGGCTGGTTTGTTGGTGGGCCTGGTGACAGGTCACCTCATACATACATGTGCATACAGACAAAGCCATGCCTCTGACAGGGGCAGGCAGACACACACACACACACACACACACACACACACGACAGGCTCCATCTCCGAGCAGACAGTCATGAGCGAGTGGGGGTGCCCTCTCGGCCTCTGATCTCCACGCCCCTGCCTTGGGTCAGCAGACGGTGCGGGTACCATGAACAAGCTGCGGCAGAGCCTGCGGCGGAGGAAGCCAGCCTACGTCCCTGAGGCTTCGCGCCCGCACCAGTGGCAGGCTGATGAGGACGCGGTGCGCAAAGGCACGTGCAGCTTCCCGGTCCGGGTGAGTGGGCGGGGCCAGAGAGGAGGGGCGGGGCGGTCGTGCATGGGCGGGGCTGCTGCGTGTGGTCGGGACCTG